AGTGTGGCTGGTGTGGCACGTGGTGGCCAGACTAGCGGGCCACACATATAAGAGTAACAGTAGGCAGAAACTTAGGGTTTATATAAGGGTATTATAGGGGTCCACAAAGGCCGCCTGGTGCCATCTCGGGAACAGGCTCTGCAGGAACTCCTCGCAGACTCTTCTGCAGCTCACTGATGTGCTGCTCCGCAGCCTGGGATAGGGTGTAAATCAGGGCGAGACCGGATATATTATGCAACTGCCTAACTAAGATTTTACTTAAGTGCTTGTGCAGGTAGAGCACCATGATTTCAGCATCAACTTGATCATCAGGCAGAGCAGACAAATCACTCCATGATCTGGCCACCATGGCTACACCCTCGTTCAAACTCTGCAGACTAACCATTGCCCACTCTTGACGAACCTCACAACATGTTGCAGCACGGTCCTGGAAAAGCAAACAGAAGCTGAAGCCGATGCTGTGTACAGCAGGCAGCAATTGTCAGGTATTTTGCCCGGGTAACGAAGCATTCTTAGAACTGCCCCGCTACATCTGCAAACTCAGTGGCTACAGAATCAGTGCGAGGTAGTTTCCGCGCGTGAAGAGCAAAAAACATTCGGGCCAAAAGGCCAAAAGCATGGATTTTGAAATTGCGCGCGTGTTGCGGGAAATTGCGCGCGTGTTGCGGTCACCCCGGCCCCACCCCGTGACCCTCGAGGCAAAAAAAGTGCGTCAAGTGAAAAAGCATTTGGGACGCAAGCCCGCAACCTTCCCACCTGCCCCACCCCTGGGAAACCCTGGCTGCCAGGGCCATTTTTAGCGAATAAGCACTGGGTGGCTTTTGGGACAATGACACTTATCTGACCTACGGGAGGCTTTCCACAAAAGGCTTCAAGTCAGTTGTTTTAGGGTGGGGGGTGGGGGGTCGGGGGGCACCACCCAGCCTGCCACCCTCCCCGCACAGCCTGATTTTTCATGAGCACCACCCCAGGCCTTTTTTGGGCCATTGTTGAGGGGATAATTCAGAGAATTGTTAAATCCCAGAGGCATCATGAGCGGCAGCTTTGGCAGGGGTTTGGCCAGGCAAAGTTAGATTGGCCCTGGTTTTGCATGGGATTCGATCACATCACCGACAAACAAATTTCCAAAGCATGTGCGCCACACCCCTTGCAAGACCGAGCATCATGAATATTCGCGGTGGTGTAGGTTGATGTGCCCGAAATTGGGTGGGCTGGGCGGGGCTAGGCCTCATGTTATTAGCTTGCTACATCAGACAAAATTCATACAAACTGTAGACTACCTCGCAACTGCCATAGCCATGTCTTTGCTAGCCAACTAGGGAATTGTACTGGGCTCTCAGCTCCGGAAAGCAGTTGACCTCGGCTGCGTGGATACACTGTTGCTATGTAAGAAAAATATCAGAACGACAGTCCTATATATATTGTCGCCTTGCAAAGCTAATGTCAGCGAAGCTACTCGCTCATGCAGGGCACGGTCGAAATCATCAATAGTAGCTTGCCAGCTGTCCGGAATCACCAGAAACCGCCCTTTCCGGAGATAGAAATATACCGAAGCCACCGAAGCATCTTCCCAGGCATCCCCTAACGGCATGGACTGAAAGAGCTCTCTGTCCGTCAGGACCGGATTGATGCTGTTCCTGGCTCTCAAGCACAACCTCGAATCTGCGGCCCGGCGCTCAACAAAGCAGCTGTAGAGCTTCTTCACAAGCTTGAGAGGATATATCCTGAGAGTGCGGATTTTGGCTTGGGGCTTCTGTAGGGTTCTTGAGAAGTATTGAAACCCTTCTAAACCCCATTAAAACCCTATACATACTAGAGGCCCCCAAAAAAGCCTGTAGTTATATATATATATATATATAGAACCCTACTTGGAAGGGCAGGGGACTTAGTACGTAGGTTATAAGTAGAGTTACAAGTACCCTAAATGGAGATACCCCATGCAATTATAACCCTACTTATATATAACCTACTTACTAATTCCCCTGCCCTTCCAAGTACAAGGCTTATATAGGCTTTTGTAGTGATATTACCCCACATAGACTGGATACAGGTGCCCGGAAGCCTAGTCACCCAGAAGGTTTCAGATCCTTTGTTCCCACGAAGAGGGAGCGGCCGTCTTTGATGTATCGGCCTTGTGTAGATTCAACACATGCTAGAGGCTGGAGGCATCATCATAAACAGTACAGAGACAAACACAAATGCTAGTGATGCATCCAGTTGTCGTACGGTCTTGGCCTGGCCCAAGCGAGCACGCTGAGCTTTTGAGAGGACCCCTCGATCCAGCTCTTTGATAGCTGGAGAATTAGAGAACATCATCGTTCGCTTCGGCGATGAAGCACCCCAGTACATTACCCAAAAGTTCTGACGAAATACCTCGGCGTAGGGTTTGTTACTGCATGAGCAGGAGAGAGAGAGAGGGAGAGAGAGAGAGAGAGAGAGAGAGAGAGAGAGAGAGAGAGACAGAAAAAGTAAGGGGCTTCCGCACCACTAGGAAGCACCCCAAAAGTAAGGGGCTTCCGCACCACTAGGAAGCACCCCTTTTTTCCACGATCATCATTATGTTGCTATATAAGAGTAGAGACAGAGAGAGAGAGAGAGAGAGAGAGAGAGAGAGAGAGAGAGAGAGAGAGAGAGAGAGAGAGAGAGAGAGAGAGAGAGAGAGAGAGAGAGAGAGAGAGAGAGAGAGAGAGAGAGAGAAAGAGAGAGAGAGAGAGAGACAGAGAGAGAGAGTGAGAGAAAGAGAAAGAGCGATATTACACCTATATCGTTATATGTATGTATGTGTGTATATATATATATATATATGTATCATAAATACACATATTATATATTCATATGGGAGCACCTGTTGTTCTCGACCGATAGAGAGAGACAGAGAGACCCGGAGGGAACGAAGTATAGTGCATGCGTGTCACACGAAGGACGGAGTTACAAAGCCATTCCCAGCGGTCGTGACGGTTAATCAAACTGCAGATAGGGTGTTCAAGAACCCATGTGGCATGCTTCGCAGTGATGACCAAGATTGCGAGGACAACCCTTAGCTTCCCAGCAGCACACAGTTGGTGTGCTACCTGTGACATGCACAACATGCACAATTATAGATCGAAACACAAGTAAATACTGCATGTAGCCAAAGCTCCGGCTCACCATCCGGTTTGCAGCAGCTACATAGTGGTACTGCTCATTCCCTTTCCAATTGATAAAGTTGCGCATGCTCGTCCCGCGATTAGGCAAGCCCCATGAAGAACACGATGGCCCGATGAGGTTGACAGAATTCACTGTCTGCTGCATGATGACCCACAAGACCAGCCTCACGTGACTTTATAAAGTCGGAACACACGCCCCTGAACGACAACATGCAACCCATAACCCATCACGACCCTGTGCTGTCTGAGGTTGCTTCGCGAAGCCGGAGTCACTGTTGAAGTCCATGCAGGCCCCTCGTTCGATGTCGATGGTGGCCACGGTGTGACCTTTGGATCGCCTCGGCTTTGGATGATTTATCTTCAGTCAGGAATTCAAGTTGTACACGTTGGCAGATCTCTCACATGCGGATGCGGCACCAGTATTCAGAAGCATTAGCTTGTCCTGCGAAAAGATCTAGAAAATCAAAGGTTTTTGCCGTCGGCAGTTGCGTGCTCCAGGAAAGTAGAAGAACTATGCCGAGCAGCACCTAAAGCGGCCGTTGCACAGTCACTCAGCATCAGAAACATTCGAGTCAAGACAAGCCATTCTATTTGCAATACACGGAGCCTTGGGGGCGCCCACTTGAACCAATCGAACAAACATGGAAGAATCTGGACAGGCGTCCATGGCACTAGTCGGTACCGGATCAAATCAGCCTGTTGCTGAAAGCCCTTGAACGAGGCTCTGGTGAATATATATATATATATATATATATATATATATAGATCATCTACAAATGTTGCAACAGCAATCAAGAGCACAGCTGCAGCACACCCCTAACACAGGCTGTGGAAGTGGAAATCACTGAAGCGAGCAGGGTGGGGAGCGCGGTTGCCTGCAGCACTAGCACGTCGTGCCCAGGCCATTCCCCACCTGTCAATGTATGTATAGCACTCTTCTATCAATGCCTGTTGTTTAAGAGGGCACATGTCATCCAACGGTATGCATTTGTTTGGCATCTTGGCAAGCCAGCAACACGGCCTCAGGAGAACCAATCAATCTCCACCATGGCGGGCACCTGTGCGAGAAAGGTGGAGGCACATCTGGGAGTCTCCACTTAGAAATGGCTGAGCTGCACAATATATATTACTTGACATCTTACGAAAACACACAATACACATGCATACTACTTACGCATACAAACCTACACATACACGTATAACACACACCCACACATACATACGTACATACATACATATACATGAATATACACATATGCATACACATACATACAGTACACACTTGCATGCATACAAACACATGCACATACATACGTGCATGCATACATGCAGACTCATACTGCAGAAGCCTCGGAAATCCTGAAATAAGACCCCTTCGACTGTCTGGTTGGCCTCTGCAGTCATACTGGTAGCAGTCGATGGTATAGCCAGAAGGGAAACACCTGCCGGTGAGATCAGGGTAGGGCTTTAAAGGTTTCAAGGCTAGCCTTTGATGGCCTCGGCTGGCACAGCTTGGGATGACGGAAAGGTCCATGCATGGAACACCTGGCATGCGAAGCAAAGGTACCCCGAAGATTGCTTTACATAAGTTTCTATGGCACTTGCAATGCATGCAAAACCGACTTGGGTATCTTTTGCACGAACATTGGGCAACCCCTGTGATTTGTCGCACGTAAAGGCTTTGCCTCAGGGTGACCCACATGACACATGACCCCGGCCAAACTAAGTGGATGCTCCCAAGACAGCCAAAAACAAGCAGACAGCATGTGTGTCTGCTGCGCACTCCCCGGCAGCTTCTGCAAACTCAGTCTTGCTCAGCATAAGCCTGGGCCAGGTATGCTTCCACAAGGTGATCTAGCAAAGTCTAGCAAAGTACGTACACATTGGCTCTCGAACATGATGCAGGCAGGTAACAATCTTGGCCAATCGGATTGCCTCTTCCTCTGAGAAGCCCTCCCTGATCTTGAGTGTTCTGGTCTTGTGATACGCGCAGGATTTCCTACTTTTCTTTTTCTTGTCTTCCTCAGCCGTTGCCTTCTTGACCGCAGCTTTCATGGGTGTCTTCTTCTTCTGAGGCTTCATAGGCTTAGATGGCTGATCACTATAGTATGCAGTGTCCTGGCTATTGGGGGCTCCGTATTCTTTCTCTTCTTGGGACTTGGGGATGCCTTAGCCTTTGCCTTTGCTTTCGCTTTTCCCTTCGCCTGGGCCTTAGCAGAGGCCGAGGCCTTTGCTTTGGCCTTCGCTTTGGCCTTCGCTTTGGCCTTCGCTTCTGCAGGCTTCTTGCCAGCACCTTTCGGGCGCCCTGGGCCACGCTTCGGCTTTGCACAAGAAGCCTCATCCCTTTCCTCCTCGTCCTCGCCCTCCTCTAGCTGAGCCTTGCCTTTCTTGGCTCCTCCCCGTGGTTTGATGGTTCGGCCTTTTGAAAGGGCTTGCTGCTCGGCAGGAGACATCACTGCAGCACTCTTCAGGAGCTCTGGCTTCTCCTGATCTAGGAGGCCCCCGGAAGCGTGACCATCGACCTGGCCGTCCAGGCCCTTGGCACGGGGTTCCTCATCGACCTTGGCGCTTGCAGGCTCCTCCTTGTTTAAAGGCACCCCTCCGGTGCCCTCATCAGGCTCCCTCTTGATTGGCTTGTCCAGTGGGTCTGCCTTGCTTAGGGTGTTGCTTGCATCTACACCAGACTCCCTCTTGATTGGCTGGTCCAATGGCTTTGTGTTGATTGGCAGGTCCAATGGCTCTCTCTTGATTGGCTGGTCCAATGGCTCTCTCTTGATTGGCTGGTCCAATGGCTCTCTCTTGATTGGCTGGTCCAATGGCTTGGTCTTGATTGGCTGGTCCAATGGCTCTCTCTTGATTGGGACTGGATGGGTCTTTACTCGTTTCGCGGGTGGGGCTTCTGTAGGCTTGCTGCTATCCGAAACCTCTGTCCTCTCCGAACAAACCGGATTGCGCTTCAGAAAACCGGCCGGGCGGGTCTGGGCTTCCTCAATGATAGCAGCTTTGCACAGCTGCTTCTCCTTCTTCGCCATCTCAATCTTTGCACTCTCAAGCGCAAGTTCAGCAACATCATTATCCATTGGAAGCGTCTCTTGGGATTCCACTCCACCTTATATACGCGGTGCCACATCAACACACGAATGCCCCTGCTGCGAAACTCCCACGACATGCTAGATAATGCATGCAAGTTGCGGGACTCACGACCACTCATCATTGCTTGTTCCGCTCGCTGCTGCTTGAGTTTCAACAATGCTGTGAGGCGATCCCGCTGCTCAAACAAGGCTTTGAGCACTGCTCTTTTGTTTGGCGGTGTGTGCTTGTCTTCACTGCTGGGCGACACACTTTGCACTGCACGAGGGCTTGGGGTGGACAAGTCACATGTCGCCACTGAAGCCGCGGCCACACTTCCTTGGCTGCAGCCCGAACCCAAACTTCTTGCACACACCGAAATCAAACCTTACCTGCATAGAAGTCACCAGATCCCACTTCCATGCCATGGGCCTCTGGTTCAGCTTTCCGCTCATCAACCTCATATGCTTGCATCATTTGAACCAGTTTCCAGTTCGTGGGTGATGTCACAAAACTGTTGGCAAACTGTATTTCAGCACAGCAGCAGCTTCACACTCATCATCGGTGCCCATCTCAGACTCCCCAGCTTCACCCTGACCACACATGACCCCTTAAGTTCAAAAGACCTCGCGGAGTCACCCTAATCAACCTCCTTTCACCCAGCCTCGCAGTCAGCAACATCCTCTTCGTCACTGCCCACGTCTGGCAGTGAACTTGAAGAACGTCCTGGGACCACAAGCCACTTAGAACCTGCTGTGTCTTCCACCATGACATGGTCACTAGCACATGGTATTCCTCATGCTTGGCCAAGCTACCTTCAGGAATCGGGATGTTCAAATATTCGTAGATTCTTCTGATGCCAGGTTCAGAGGGGCGGTGAGGAAGCTTTGCAATCCTGACGAACATCGTGATCATATTCCTGATCCTCCATCCTTGCGTACGGCAAAATTTGCCTTGGTTTCTGCATGCATGCAGCAATGCAGCAAGCGCTTCACAACAGTGCAAGACTTGTACAAGCTCTATCGAACAATGTGTGAAGACGAGAGGCTGGGGACGGGTGGTTTTCCTTTGGGACGGGTAAGGTGGAAGAAATGCACCACTGCATCTTCAAGTGCGTAGACACTGGGCCTAGAGCCCACAGCCTCAATTGCAGCCGCCACAATATTCCAGTTGGCATCAAGGTCCGGCCTCGTTATATGGTTGCCTGCCAGAACGATCCGGCCTGATACACCGCGTTCCTCGATACCTGGAAACTTCGTCCACTTCTTGGCTAGTGTTTCAAGCACTTCTGTTTTCTCCACTTCCGTCGGCTTCTCACCTTCTTGTGAGTTTGCGGGCATGGCTCACGACTCTGTCGTATATATTATTTTGTTGAACACATACACACATACACGCGGCACAACACGTGCATGCATACATAGGCATGAACATGTGATGGCATCCAAGTGATCATGCTGAGCAAGCCCTCTAGAAGCCAAAACCCCTTCGGAATTCGTACATGCTGGCACTCAAACTCGCACACGAAGCAGTGCACAAGCGAGCTAATTAATAACATGCCTGGGCCACCGATCGAGAGCAGCAAAGCCTGTGGCAGGCGGACATCGTCAGCACCGACTGCGACGAGCACATCCATCATATCATTCCATCTATCATCAATCGCGAGAGAGAGATCGAGAGAGATATATACATATATACATATATACGTATATATATATACACGTATAAATTAAACTTATCATATCGGTAAGTATTTCGAGAATACCTGAAACCACAGACCCAGCCTGCTTCGCATCCTGGGCGTTCTTGCCCCCGACGCACAGCAAGAGCTTGAGCTTTCGTGGCCCAAGGGATTTCCATTCGGGATGTTTTTTTCCATGCGGGATCATAGGGTTCATGAATTTAAGTGCGCTTCCACCCGAAACTGTGTACTTTGCACAACAAACGCAAATAAACATGCGATTGGGTGGTCTAGGTAAACCCTACACCCTGACGAGAATCCTTCACCCCCACCAAAACGGCCAGTAACTTCTGAAAGGGACTCAGCCCCAGAAGGATCGTTTCTCCGAGCCCTAAACCATAAACCCCGAGACCCCTAAACCCCCAAGCTGCTAAACCCCTAAACCCCCAAACCCCTAAACCCTCAAACTTTAAACCCCGCAGCCCTAAGAGTAGTCCCTGAGGTGGCTCTGTCCAACACTCCCGACCCGGCCGGGATCCCCTTCGGTGAGACCTTTGGCTGAACGAGTTCAGGGTTCAGGGCTATGGGTGAATTAGGGTTAAGGGTTTGGGGTTTAGGGGTGTAGGGCTTCAGGTACAGGGCTTAGGGTTTAGGATTTAAGACGTAGGGTTTAGGGGATAGGGTTTAAGGCCTAGGGTGTGGGGTTTAAGCTTGAGTGCTCAGGGCGGGCTTGGGCCTTACCTGGACCCCATATGTCCTGCTGTTTTTAGGGCTTTTGGGGTTTAGGGTTTAGGGCTTTTTGGGATGGTTTCTTTGCATCAGGTTCTTTAGGGTCCAGGTAGGGTATACAGGGCATCGAGGGGTGGGCTTTGGTGTTTACATGGTTTAAGCCGTCCAGGGTTCCGTCGGGTTAGTTTATCGGATTGATGTTGGTTATCCAAGTTTCCAGACTTGGTCTTTTCAGGCTTCGGAAGGGACGCTTGGTAAAGGCTTTCCATGTAAGGGGTTTGACAAGGCCTTTATGTGTGGGGGGGGGGGGCGGGGGTATGCATGAGTCTTTGTTTTGGCCAGCTTGTGCTTCGGGATTTACGTTGCTCTACAGCAGTTCCTTGGAATGTTCACTGTGCGAGTAGGCCTTTAACTTTCAGTCTTGGCGGCTAGGGGTTTAGGGTGCATTGTGGCAGAGGCATGGCGCCGAGTACGTTTGCGAGTCCACGGGCATGTTCCTGACCACCGACAAGGCCTAAACCCTGGGCCCTGAACCGGGTGAGGCTTCCCCAAACTCTAAGTCCAAGCTAGTCCTGCAGCCCCTTAAACTCACGAAAAACCGCAAACTGGAAGGACCTTAAATGATGAGGGTTGCACAATTTGGGGCTGATCCTGGCGATTAAGGTCGTTTTCGGTTCGCAGTAGGGCAAGGTTGTGATTCAGGTTTTGCTTCGATAGGGTGTTCGGTGTTTCGCGGCTCAGGTTTCGGGCTTGCTGTCTGCAGGGCGTTCACTGGTAGTAGTTTCTCTCAGCGTCCCAAGTGCCCGAGCACTTGGGCAAGTTCGGGGTGGCAGTGGTTTGCAGAAAGAGCCTGAGGAGAGTCCCTCGGAAGTAGATGGGCTACTCTAAACCCTTAAAATTCAACTCTAGTTGCTGCAGATGATGGTGCTTTACACCAGGAGGGACCTTTGACTCTTTGTAATACTTTTGTTTTGACCCACCAATTCAGATGCTTGCTGCGGTACACTGTCCTGTTGGGTTTGATACGGTGTGATGGGCTGGAGCTTAGGATTTCGGGTTGACGCGTCGCAGTAGATCAGTTGACTAGGTTTGGGTCTAAGCACCGAGAACTCAGGAAGCATTCTTGAAATGCTATGATCATCATGAGAGACAACGCCCCTAGCTTTACATCCAGTCCAACAGCTCGCGATACGCACCTAGAACAGCACTCCCTGCCAGCCTTTTAACCCCAAACCTAAACCCACTCCGACAGCTCTATACCCTCTAGCCTTAAGCACCTTAAACACGAAGGCCGGCGCCAAGAACGTTATCTTCTCTGCCCCTGCCACGGACGGGTTATGGGTTAAGGGTTTAGGGTACCAAGGACGGATAAGGACGGGTTGGTTTTGGAGCTGAAGGTCTCCATGCGATCCAAGCTACGGGCAGGGGGTGTAGAATGGTTCGTTTAGGGGACCCTATAAGGGTTCCTATGAGGAGACTACAAGGGACCCGTTCTGTAGGGTACTCAGGGTGAAGACTTTTGGGAAGATGATGTGCTATGATCGCAAGCCCTGCAATCACCAGAGCCAAATATCAGGAAACTTAACCGATACAGCGACCTCAAGACAACCCCAAACCCTACACCCGAACAGGGCTTTAGGGTTTGGGTTTAGGGTTTAGGGTTTAATAGACCCCAAACCACTCTCTGAACCCCACCAGTCTCGCAGGATGACTCCCACACCATCGTCATGGGCGTGAACGAGGCAGACCGGAGAGCTTACTTTGGGGGTCGAGCTCCTGTACCTAAACCCTAAACCCCTAAACCCTTTCAAACCCTTAAACCGTACACCTTACACCCTTAAACCCTAAACCCTCAAGTTCTATAATGCTGTTATTATCCCTGCCCGCTCCCCCGCACGGCCGAAACATAGTCGCGATGGTCCGCCCCCGATTGTGTGAAGATGTAGCTCAGGGTTTGAGTGTTGGCGGTCCGGGGTCTAGAGGTTCAAGGTTTAGGGTTGAGGGTTTGGGGCCTCGTAATCGCTGATTTCGAGGATTCGTGAGTTTTGTACACCCTATCTCCTAGCCCCTAAACCTATACCCAAACAACTTTAAAACCTTACAGTAGGGCTATAACAGGAACAAGTGGGACAGCATCTACGGGAGTGTATTTGCGGCATGCCTACCCTTGTGCCCAGAGCTTGGAGGGATCGCCATGTTGTTGAGCGAACTTCTTCGGCTTCATGTTGCACCACACCCCGAGCGCGAAAACTCAGAGCGCGTGTGAACAACATATGCGTAAAGCCGAATAGGGGTTTCCACAAGATATGTGAACTAACATAGACCTCGAAGCCCATTCTCATTTTTGCATTTTTACTGCCTCAATAGTAGAAGCCCCAAAGACCCCGAAGACGCAGATCTTAAAACAGGCAAAATCCGAAACGCTGAACAGGACACCTACGACCCCTCCATGGAGTGCGTCTCCTGCGCCAGCTGCACCACCAGCGGCCTCGCCCCTGCCGTGCGAGTGCTGCATGAGAAGCACCCAGGCGGCAACACGAACACCTAATCTAGGGGCCGTAATGATCAGAATAGGGTTCCTCTCAGGATTCCTTTACAGGGTTCTGTAAGGTTTTGGGTTCATTAGCTAGCTTAAACTACCAGAACCTACTGTTTTGTTGGGCCCCTACAAATATTCTATCTTCGGATTTCCCATAAGAACCTGCAGAAAATGGGTTATGGTAGGTTAAGGTATGGATTCCGGGTTTGGGTGTTGGGGCTTCCGGGTTCCGGGTTTAAGATTTATGGTCGTTATTGGACTCCATTATTTTGACAGGAGTCCCGGCGAGATTTTTTCCAAACCCCAAACCCTTCAGTTGATGCAGAAGTCAGAAAAATTAGCCAGACTTTCCCCTTGTCATCTCTGCCCCAAAACCCTAAACTCTAAACCTCTAGAATGTACCGGCAAACCCTAGTCAGATTATCAAGGCCCCTGTATTCTAGCATGTCCTTTGATAACGGAAAAAAGCTTAACTCACATTCATGATGCACTACAGAACTTCAGCTATGTAGCCTGCCCTACATGTAGTCTCTATTCGTGAAATCAGGGGTGAGCCGCAGTATCCGGTTTATAAATCAACAAGTCTTCGTTCAAGTCACCTCTCTGGACAGCCTTAGGCATCAGACCACGTACCCTAAACCCTTCCCTAAACTCTAAACCCTAAACCCTAAACCCCCCATGTCTACAAGGAAGCACCCTGCAACAATTTCTGGAGACGGAAGGCCGAAAATCGGCGGTAACACCCCAAAAAGAAACCTAATCCCAAAACCTCCCAAAACCCTAAACCCTAAGTACTCTTTGAGGTTCGGCATCAAGCGTGGTCTGATGACCACCTGCCACGCCATGACGGCCTCGCAGCCCACCGTGGACGGTTTAGGGTTAGGGGTTCCATAAGGGTCTGTGGACCTAAAGAATGCATGCTAGACCTGTACAGGGTTGCAATGTGGACATGTTGAGTCCGAAGTATGTACTCTGTGTATGGGTACATGGACCCTTGGGGTTTCGGGAGTCGAAACTAAGCAGATGGTGATATGCTGTTCATGTTTTGACAACCATCCACTGTGCCCAACTTAGACAGTCGATGTCCTTCGAAGTAACTCTTTCTAAATGTTCATGTTCGTTCGTTGCAAGCAGTGATGTGCAAATTGCTGTTGTGCCAGTTCTTGAATGTGAAACTGCGAAAAGCACGTTCTGTCCGGACTGCAGGTGGGATAGGCACGGCACGCCCATTAATACTCTCGATCGCCGTCTGGCTAGCAATGACGGTCTCGTTTTTGATTTCGGCTCACCGCCACAATCATCATTAACCATCACATCATGGACTATGTCTTTGGCGTGCTTGAGTGTTTCTCAGTACAACAATATGTAGTTTTGATGACTATAGGCCAATCCCCGCAACTCGGATTACGAACAAGCTGGGTCCCGGGAAGGGTAGAAGCCCGTCTTGCTAATTGAGTACAGGCTATAGCCACAAAGGACAGATAACCCCAACACAGCCTGGTGCGAAATACTTGTGTTGGTGTGTCATCCGTGGACGGGCTTCAAGTTTACGTATTGTGATGGGTATCCCGCCAACCCTAAGCCCTATACCCTAAACCCTATACCCTAAAGCCCTCCCAAACCCTAAATCTCCGAACCCTGAAAAAAAGCTCAACATGCAGAGTTTTGCTCTAAACCCTAACCCCTAAACCCTAAACCCTAAACCCTAACCCCTAAACCCTAAACCCTAAACCCTAACCCTTAAACCCTAAACCCTAACCCCTAAACCCTAAACCCTAACCTCTAAACCCTAAACCCTACATTAGGGGCGAACTTCCGAGCGGCCTCTGCTTGCAGGACTGGCGAGGCGGCCGTGCCGGTCCAGGCGTGTTGTTTCTGGAAACTCCCCAAAGCTCCATGTATCCTTTAAGGGTTCCTTTAAAGGGTTCCTTAAAGGGTTCCATAAGGGTACTATAAGTATACTATGAGGTTTTAGGGTCTAAGGCTCCATGTACCCTTATAGTAGATAGGCCTTAAAGTACCCTTATGGGAACCCCTTTAAGGCCTAAGTATCTACTATAAGGGTACATGGAGCCTCGGGTTTCGGGCTTTGGGGTTTAGGGTTTAGGGTTGAGGGGCTTTGGGGGTTTAAGGTTGAGGGTTTTGGGTTTTAAGGGTTTCTGGATTCAGGGTCGATCGCATGGTTCAGCTATTTAGGCATTGTCATGACATGATCGGAAGACCTACTGTTGGTGATATGAACCTTGCATTACCTTAAGAACCCCAAAACATGGGAATCATGGTAAATTCCTTGTTATGGGTAATTAATGCAGGATTTATATCTAGTACGAAATCGGTTTTAGGGATTAGGGCTTGGGGTCTAGGGTTCAGGGTTAAAGGCTTATGGGGTTTAGGGCATAGGGTTCGTTTTCGGGTTAACGTTTCGCGCCTTTGGGTTGAGGGTTTGGGTTTTAGCGTTTAGGAAGGGGGTTTCAGCCAGATAATGAAATTCGAACCTTAATTAGTGATAGCCCCGTTTAATGAAGTTTGGCCTGCAACGCTCCAGTGAGTTTTATGGCGGGTTTGGGGTTGGGGGTTTGGGGTTGAGGGGCATTTCTCCCAACGAGCCCGACAGGAATACTCCTTAATTGTCGGTGATGAACCTTGAGTACTCATAAATTCCTGAATAAAGGGTACTGGGCTCCCTGGGTAGACTTAGTAAGCAAGGGTATCTTGCAGATAGGTTCTCGTTGTTTTAAAGTATCCGTTATGTGCTTGGGGCTCTACATACAGGCTGTGTTGCGAAACCCTAAACCCTAAACCCAAGGGGTTTGAGAGGTATGAAGCTGCTCATGAATCCGGGGTGACATCTGCCTGAGTTCCCGAACCGATCCTTAGGGTTTAGGGTTTAGTTGTTGAGTGTTATGTTCGGAGGTAGAAACCCCTAAATCCTACAGTAAACGCTAAACCCTAGATCCGGAACCCTTTCTACTGCTAGGGTTCAGGATCGGTACCCGAAATGCAAAGAACCCTACAAGAACTACCCCTTGAGCCCCAAGAGCCTTTCACCCTGTGCAGCACCTATAAGCGCTTCTAGACTCTAAACACCCATAATCACAACGGGTTAGGGTTTGGGGTTTAGGGTTTCGGGTTCAGGTGGCATCCCACCAAGCAGGCAACATCATCCCGTCCTCCACGGGAGCCGCGAAGGCTGTGGCCGAGGTGATCCCCGACGTCAAGGCCCTGCGGTTTCAGCAGTACGAGTATTGCCTGTATTCCCTAAGGTGCTGATCGTAGAAGATGCCCAGAGCCTCTTCTCAAGCGCCGGCATCAAGCCCGTGCGAAGCATTGATATATTTGCAAGATTGCGCTGACTGCCCCATTGGAAATTTCCGAAAATTAGGGTACCGGTAATTTCTTTGGGGGTCCTTATAACAAGGATCCTACAATTTGGGGTACTAGATCAGGGACCCCCTTTCTCGGACACTCCCATTTCATTCACGAAGTGGTTCGGGGCATAAGCACGCTGCATGATGCAGAGAAACAAGCCGGAGTGCATGCCGATCGCAACCAGGATATTCTGTTATCTGTTAGCCACCATAGTGAATACAGGGGAGACAAGGGGCTGCAGGGGTTCCAAGACTGCTCGCGAACGTTGTAGCCTGCTATGTTGTGTTGTCAAACCCAGCTTTCAACTGCAAGCTAATGCGTAAGTCGTCCCGATCTTCAAGGAACCTCCTTATTGCACGTTGTTTGCCACTAAGACACTGTACCTGAAACGCGAAGTATACACTCTGGACCCAAACCCCAGAAGTATGTACACATGCCTTAATCCTTGGTACTAAAGCCTATATATATATATATATACATATTATACATATGATTACTTACATACCCCCTAAACCCCATTTACACCCTAAGCCCTATAAAGCCTAAGCCTTATTAGCGATCTCTAAAGCCCTCAGGCATGCAGCAAAGGAAGCCTGGCTGTACGGTAAGGCCTTCGACCCACACCCTAAACCCTAAGCCCCGAACCTAACCCCTAAACCCCAAGCCCCAAATCTCAACCCAAACCCCAAGTCCTGAACCTCCAAAGCTAACAACGCCGGCCAGGGAAAGCTGACCGGCATGGCCCTTCGTGTCCCTACGATTGATGTCTCCGTCGTGGACCTCACTGTGGAGCTCGAGAAGGAGCTTTTGGGTTGCAGGAACGCAGGGGCCCTCGGGGCAGGGTGGGATATCATGCTAATCACAAAATGATAGTATATGTATATGCATTATAAACATGCACAGATGTATAAATATGTGTACATATGCATATATATATATATATATATATATGTATACGAACATCATACTACAGTGCTGTTGTCTATATATATGTATATATACTTATACATACGTATACACACACATATGCAAGTGTGTATACATGTATATGTATATCTTTTTATTAATTATGTAGGTATCATATTATCAGAACTTGTAATGTAATGTAGTGTAAGCCTCCCCCTAATTAGAATACCATGGATGTCCGAGTGGTCAGCAACTACTGCATGCACGTGTCGTCTCCATAGAACTATAATTACTACTACAACAGCCGCCACCATGTTCGAATTGTCGTGGCACCTATCGTCTCTTTATTCCGCTGCTATGACTTTTATACACACCTTCTTATACACACATTAGTTAAGACCCGCAGAAACCCTACTGAAAGCATCGAGGGCTCTAGTTTCAACTTTCGTCGGACACCATGAGCCGGTTCAAACCCACAAGCAAAGTTGTAGGTTGCCAGCACGCCATGGTAAATCGAGTTGCGAACGACGGTCATCAGCTGCCTCTAAGCATGAGGAGCTATGCGTCGAACCCCACACCTTGCAGCATTAGCATCAGATATGCATCTGTTGCCGAAGCTGCCGCACAACAGAACACTGCGGCAGTCATCGACATGCTGTTGCAGGGGTACAAAGCAGATAGTCAGGACTCCGACGGCAACACAGCTCTCCACTACACTGTGTTGTTCAGGCTGGACGCACTCCTCGACCCGTTGCTAGAAGGAGGTGCACGACCAGACATTGGAAACAATTCCGGAGAATGCGCAGTGCATTGGGCTGCGAACTCGTGTAATGTCATTGCCTTGGACAAGATGACGAAAACCAATCGAGCCCTTCTCTCGCTGCAGGACTGTGACGGCTTCACGGCCTTCATTGTGGCCGCACAGACGGACAACTATCTCGTTATGGAGTGGTTGTACCTCAAAGGCATCAGTCTAGAAGAGCAGGATGATTGTGGAAGAACTGCCCTGTAGTGGGCATGCTACAAAGGGAAGAAGAAGACGGTCCAATGGTTGATCTCGCGATCTGCCAGCATTGTGCACCGCGACCGCGACGGCACTCCGCAGTGCTGCAGGGACACACGAAAGTCGTTGAAATGCTCATGGAAGTCGGGGCTGTGGGCCTTATCAACGTTCCAGATTGCACTGGCGAAACCCCGATCGCACTCGCAATGCGGAAAAGGAACAGGTCATTGGTGGTTGCCTTCCACAAGTGCCAGGTCTTTAATTTTGTGTTCGGCAGGCCACATGTTTTCCAGAACCTCTTGCCAAGTGCCTTCCTCTGTTTCGTTGCGTACCACATCATTATCTTTGCCCTCATCGTAGCACCAGGAATTGCGGCCAGAAATCCTGAAGCCGTCATGCACTGGTCGATGCTGATGGGGTTGTCATTGCTGCTCTGGGTGCAATGCCTCTGCTCCGATCCGGGTTGGCTCCAGCCACGTATCACACCCTCCCAGAGCCATCTGCTTGGTAAAGATCTAGCGCGGACTTTCGACATTGATCAGCCGATCGAGTCGCAGATGGCTCGCTGCGACAGCATGCTTCAGGAACTAATCTTGACCGGTGACTTACGCAGCCTATGAGAAAACTCTAAACTTTTTGGCCTTGTATATTTGGTCTATGGTAGAAAGTTTCCACGTCTGTTGACCCAACCCGAAACCCTAAAACCCCGTGGTTGAAGAAGAGAGGTGATGGAGAGGCCCACAAAACGACCCCTTCTTCGTCATTGGGTATAAGCCTTGAACGCATCGGCAGGACACCACCTACGAGGAGATTTGCGCCGAGATGAAGCTTCCCGGCTGCAGATCCGGGATGTTGATGATGTAAATCCCGCATTACTACCTTAAGGACCCTAAACTAATGCAGGGTTTATGTCATCAACCTTATAGCTTGTTTTTTTTACCGCGCCAAATCAATGCAAAATAGGGTGGCCTGACAGGGTTCGAACAGGGTTTGGGGGGTACATTACAGCAGATATTTATAAGGGAGTATAAGGGAAGGAACTTCTTCCGAACATTATTCCAACCCCTCCGGCTGGGTGACTTTGGGTTTCGAGTTTTTGCGGCATCTTAGACATAATCCTCACAGCCTTGGAATCCTGGCCCAAAGCCCAAAACTCTAAACCAAATTTCTGGCCCAAGCCGGCCGTCTTCGACTTTACCTGGACATCATGGAACCTCCCGTTAAAGGGCTCTTTGTTATACGACTACTTTATATACGTCCTTAAAAACCTTTAAATGTAGGCTATTTAGGGTTACGGTAAACCCTAGACAGGACCGAATGCCTGCAACACAGCTTCAAGTTACCTGACATTCCGGCTTGAATCTTCACTAGTCAACGAGTTTACAGGTTTAGGGGTTTAGGGTTAGGGGTAGTGCAGGAAGCTCGCTGTGAAAGCAGCAAAAGTTGCTGCTTGAAAGCTGCATTAATTAAGACTTTCCCATATAATAGAAGCGAAAGAAGCAAAATGATTCTCTAGTTCCAGTTCTTGAAATCCCAAACCCAGAGAGCTCTCACAAGATTAAAATCCCTGAACGCTAATCCGCCGAAACCCCTAGAAAACTACAGAGCGCATGTTGCAAGAGCGGTGGGCTGCAGGAAGCGCTCCGAGGGAGACATGAATGGCTACCTGGGCTACACTGACGAGGACGGTACGGGCTAGTTGAAGGGTTCCTTAAGATACGTCGCGTCGCAAGAATATTTTTTCATGTTCGTAATGTCCCTAACCTCTGAGTCATGTCTCGAAAGCCACGTACAACCCCAACCGACCATATAGGGACCTAATTCCAGAATGGTAGTAAGTAGCTAATTACATAGGAGCCCTTCAAGGCTTAAGTGTATACTATATACTACGCGGCGCCTTAGGGATGCCCATCGCTACTCAGGATTCTACCCTTCGGGACTTTCAATGAAGGGGCCCAGGCGGATGAAGGCGTCATGACTGACTTTCAAGGTTTCGGGTCTACAGTCAAATCCTGAATTCCTAAATCCCGTAGCGACCCTAAACCGTTCAGTCTACAACGTAAACCCAAAGCCCTAAACTTGACAAGGTGAAAAAGAAAAAGCAACCTGACGAGAAACGAAGCTTTTCTGCAGCCGCTGTACAAGTAAGCTCAAGAGCCGCGCCTCTTTTTTTCACCGGATCTTGTCTGGAGGTGATCTCCACGGTGAGGCCTGCAGTGGCCTCCTTCCAGGAGGCTCATTTAGGGCTTAATGTAGAAGCCTACATAATTACCAATACTACTGTGGTGATTCTTTATTGTAATCATAGCATAGTGGGCCCCAAAACTCCATTGTAATTATTAAGGCCGCTATACCCTAATTGAACCCTTGTAGATCCCTTGAAGGAACCCCTTTGAGGAGCCCCCTTGTAATTATTAAGGCCCCTGTTTTACGGTTTGGAGCAGGGGGTTTTTGTTTCTGGAAGTTTCGGGCTGATGAAGCTGTCAACAAGTCTCGCCAACAGCATGGTATCTCATGGGGCATTCAGTATAGTAGTTTGGGATTTATGGCTTAGGGTAATACGAATATCAGGGCGGGCATATACTGCCATGAGGAAGCAGCTAGAGGCGATCAGTGATCACAAAGAAAGTCAGAGCACACGAATGAGAAGTCGGTGGTTTTTCGGGCTTGTAGTATAGGGCTTCATGATCTCGACATGGGGTCACGGGTTCAAGGATTGGGTTACGGCGCGTCCAGGGCATGCCATGCAGACTCGGACTCGGTCTTTATTCTGACTCGAACCCCAAACCACGAAGCCTGAACCATCCTGAACCCAAAAGCCAAGCAAGTATGGTGAGATGTTAGGGTTTAGGGTTTAGGTTGAAGATCTTCGACGAGGGTGGCTCGAGAGAACTTAAGACATGTTGTGGAGTTCAGCAGGAGCAGGGAAGCAACCGTTTGCCTTCAGTGACAGTGACCTGTTTGCCAGAATCTGACTCCTAGGCTGGAACATGAGGTAAGGTTGAGGAATGTGACAAGGTCTGTTGAGCTCGTAATACAGTGGCTGGCAATGGATGAGGGTTCTGTTAAGCTTTAACTCCCAGATAGAAACTGTATGAAACCACTAAACCCTAAACCTCAGAGACTCCAAAACTCCTGAAGTAAGAAATGTACCTTAAACTACAACCGGAACCATAAAATGATCTAGAGTATATTGCTTACTTAAGGGGTTTTGAAGTCTCTGGGACCCTTGTGCAGCAGTAGAACAGCAGTACATGAACATCTTCGAAAGAGGCATCGGCCGGTACGGATGTCCCCACTGTGGTTGATGCCGCCACTCCGCTGTGAAGCATAAGGGTGGTTGTCAAAATTAGGGTCCCTTTTCGGGTCCCTCCTAGAAGACGGCACCTAATGTTTGGGGTACCCAGAAAGGGACCATGATTTTGACAACCACGCATATGATCAGGGCTTGAAGGTTTAGTGTTTAGGGCTTCAGGTTTTAGAAGGAGGGTTCATGGTCTGCACCCATGCTAGGCTGTGTGGGTTGATTCGACAGCAGCTTATGTGGCTGTGCTCGTGGATCTTTGTCCTTCAGCTCGTCTGCATATAGCTGGATGTTCTCCCGCCTTTAGGATCCGGGGCTTTCATGCTGCAGTTTGGGATTTTGGCAGTAAGTCATCACGCAGTTCGCACTCGAGGTCCCTGACCCTACGAAGGGTTCTTTAGAGTTTACGGGATGGGATTTGGGTTTGAGGTTTAGGGTTTAGTTCAGAATTTCGGTTCTGAGGCTCAGGATCAGGATTTCGGACAGATGCCGACAAGGTTCAGGGGTCTTTTGGATTGAGGTCTTACAGGGTCTTATGGGAGTTTATGCGGGTCTGAGGTACCGACACAAACCTTCTTGAGTTTGCGATCGAAGAATATAGTTTAGAAACGTTGGAGATCATACGATTGCGGTACCCGGAGCCTTGGGAGGTTGGGGCGGTGAGGGTTTGTGAGGGTGTACGCTGTCGGACATATACTTTTCTAATGATCAGCAGCTCCGAAATTTTGTGCTTAAGGTTTAGGGCTTACCATAGCTGGAGGCACCAAAAATCCACAGACACCCAACCTGCTACACCCATGTAGCATCAAGCCCGCCACCTTCAACCCCCAGCACTAAACCTGTCCCTATCTCTGTCTATATACGCATCTCCCTGCAAGCTGCCAGTTTCTATTCCATTTGAACCCCAAAAGCACTAAGACTCCAAAACAGCAACATGTATACAGCTGCGCCCCTCTTCACTCTGAAGTCCCTCGAAAAAAATCTCTCCCCCGAACCCTACACCTCCCATGGTCTCCTCCCCAGGTTTTCTTGAACAGAACTCGGCTGTTCGACACGTTGGGGGCTCAGAGCGCCGCAGTTGCCGACTGAGAGAATTGCTGTGCTGTCAGTCAGTTTCCTGTTCCGACTTTCATGATGAGGATTGGAGGGCACATCAATGGGGGACCAACAGTTTTCAGTAGGGTGCTGAAGAACGGCTGGGGCATAAAACGAGACTATACTCATACAAGGATCGCAACAGAAGAGTATTCGGTTTTGGAGGTTCAATTTAGGATGTATATGTGGAGCTCCCATCAGTAAAGTCAGTCATAGCAAGCGCGCTCCGTGTTCTAGTCATTCTAGTCATCTAGCAGGCAGAACTTTTAAGAAGATGGAGATCGTTTGGAGTGTAGGGCTTGGGTTTGCGGCAGGGGCTGTCTTTCGGATTCAGGCTTAGTGGCTTAGTATTGCAACAGCCTGAACAATCGGGGCCTTTCGGCTCATAGTTTAGAGCTTGGAGGTGAGGGGCTGGAGGAGTTCGGGCTCAAGGTTTAGGGCTTTAGAGGTAGGGGATTCTGCCAAAAGAATGCGGCCCCGAACGGAGGATTTAACCATCCAGCCACAAACTCCGTCGCCTCAGTTTGTATGGTTGGTGTGATTGACACCGAGTGCTTCAGCCGGCAGCTGAGCTTTGTGTGGGTGCGAGCGGTGGGTCTGACTTGAACCCTTTGGGCCTTGTATATGTAATCCTGCCATAATTGAAAAGGTACACCTTTCTTGGCCTGAGGCTGTTCCTTTCGCGTTTTGGCGTTCCAGGATAGCGTTCCCGGACGCAATGGTTTTGGACATATTGGGCTCGGGCTTGGCGGGTCTTGGGGTTTCGTGACATCCATATCTTTTGACATGGTACTTGGCACAACCCCGACACATTAAAAACCAAGAACTTCAAGTTGACAGCCCTTGATGTTCTCATTGTGAGACTCATGACCCTACCCTGAGTCCTCGTAGAGTCCCCCGTTCCATCATCCCCTCCGATAAAGAAGGACCCTCTTGATTTGGGTGGCAGCGTGGTTGCCCCTATCGCGAGCGTTCAATCTTCGGTATCGGGCACCTGCGGTTTACGCGAGTTTAAGCCGCTTAGGCCTTAGAATAGAACTCTGTCATACGTTTAGAGTTTAGGGCCATTCTTTCTGTAGAAGGAACCTAAATGGTAAGCGTTGCTCAGGAGGGGAACAGTTTTTCCATAATCACTGATACCACGCGCAGAAGCGTGAGAAAAAGCCTTCCTGTGATAAGGTTTATGGTACGGGTCTTTGGCAGCGCTGGATAGAGCTTTCACGTGAGGCCTTTTATTACAGCAGACGAGACCATCCTCAAACAGACGCGGCCTGAAGATATAATCCGTGCTGTTGCCTTCCTTGTTGTTATAAACTCCACGAGCCTAATTCCAAAGCCCTATGTTCGAAATAGTGCGTAAAGTCTGAAGTTTATTGGGCTCGCACACTGCTACACCCAAACTCAAACCCGAAGCCAACCCGGATGCAAGCCCAGTCCCTCGGCGGCGGTCGTGGTCAGAAGGACCTGCGCCAAGGTTTGTGTCGGAATCTGTTGGGTTTAGGACTCAAGTTTACAGGTTTAGGTTCAAGAGGTCGGGGTTTTGGGATTTAAGGCTTTGAGTGTTTCTGGCTTAAGGGTTCAAGGGTTCAGGTTGCGGGTCGTGACATGGTGCTGCAGCCGCAGCTGTTTTTGCCCAGACCCCCCAACTACCCTCGAAAATACTTTCAATACCCACGATGAAGGGCCATAAGGGCTGGGGTCCTGGTAGGCTTTGGAGTTTAGGATTTTTGGTCTTGGGTTTAGGGTTCCGGGTTTAAAGTTTAGGGTTTGGGTTGTAGGGCTTCGGAAACGGCTCTCTAGTGACATAGCAGGGCGGCACGTTTGAGTGGCGTAGCATTTCTCATTGTTCGTCTCGGAGGGCAGCCCCAAGACAGGTTTCCGACGCCCTAGCAAATGTAGGGGCCTAATTAAACACAGGCACAAATGCAGACATTGACATTGTCATACCTCGGCCTATCATCATCCTTATATAGTATCATCGGCTTGGGTTAGGGGTTGAGGATTTCGAGGTTTGGGATTCAGGTCTGTCTTGATGGATGCACAGAAATTCGAGCTGCCCGTGCCGACGAGCGCTTGTCGAGGGCATTTGCTCGTAGAAGCGAGCCGCTTCTGATTTAGCTTTCGCTGCAGATATGGGTCCCGTGTGGGCGTCTCCAGTTCGTATTGGGAACTTAAACTAGGTCACTAATACTAACACTCTGAACCTTTAACCTAAGTATTTGAGAACTTGCACCGTTAGAGGGGTTCAGGTGGTGAAATCCTACATCTGCGGGCTAATTGTAGGCAGTATACAAGATTTCTCGCATAATAGTTCCACGAACCTTAGGGCCAGGCTCGCCGGTTACAGTAGGTTGTTCGGACAAAACAGGGGTTCGGGTTAGGGGTTTATTCTAACGGCTGCTCCAAAGGTGCCGTTTGGAGGATTCCTATAACGGCTTGCGTATTTCGCCTGGTTTGATAAAGTGCCCTGAATAACTAGACTCGTTATTCTTTCGAGTTCTTTTGCATACTTAGGCTTGGATGCACGCAGCAGCCCCATTCCAATTATTCGCACGCCCATTTTCATTATTGGCCCTGACAGCAGCTTATTGTGTAAGCGCACATAGGCACTGTATACCCTCACCCCTAAACCTCAAACCGTAGTAACGAGGGACAGAAGGCACAAAGTCTATGTCGGTAGGCATGAGCTTGAAGGGCGAAGGGACCCATCGTCGAAGACGCATGCTGTCTCATCCGGCCTCAGACAGAGAAATGCTTGTTGTCGGTGGAGCTCCCCTGCGAATCACTTGAACTCTAAATCCTGCAGGGTACCGCTGTTGCATCAGCGAGTGCTTTTAACTTGCACTTAGCATCACTGCTGTCTTTACTGCTTCTACTACCAGCTGGCATTGCCATTCCTTCCATCGTGATCAGCAGCAGGAGCAATGCTGTTATCTTTCTTGCTGACACGTTTACTCACACCTTCCTCAGCCCCTGAACAGCCTAAGGATCGAACCACCTACTCAGTGGATCAGAAGACTTAACAAGGTGTGGATTAGAACTTACCTGCAAGTCAGCCTGAATAGAAATTCCAGATGTCAATGTGCGATCCTGATTCCAGACATTTGTGTTTGGAATATAGATGCCAGGAGTCTGCAGAAGCTTATCTGGTCTTGAGGTGTCGTCGTCCCGCAGCTGTGCTTCAGCCGTAGATGTGCTTCCTGAGTTGGACGCAATGCCCGAAACCCTAAACGCTGCGCCCATAATAACGAATTTTCCATGATTCCCACGGTTTAGGGTTCTTAAGGTAATGCAGGGTTTGTATCATCAGCAGTATTGCCCTTGAATCTAAGGAAGAAGTAACACTACTGGTGCTTCATAATGTTACCTAGCCCTGTGAAACCCTATTTGTCCTGAAAGAAACCTTGAATATCTTTGAAATTTCGTGGAATACCTACCTAGCGCTGCATACTCCGCAAAATGCTTCTCAGATAGGGCTTGGCAATTGCCTGAGACTCGGAATCGTTAGGGGGCTTTCCTGGTTTCGGGTGGTTTCCGAGACAGGGTGTCCTATATGTTTCCAAATATGATAGATCCCATTTATACTGTCTCGCCAAACGGATCGCCAATTTTCGTAAATCCTCATATAACCTTCCGTGAAGGAGAATGCCGGGATCTCCTTATAAGCTCCTCATTTCCCTAGAAAGTCATACGATTACACATGCTCTGAGAACATGCAATCTTACTTGGGGACCAAGGGGACTTAGCAACGAAACGTACAAACCCTGTAAGCCGTAAAGTAACCCAACCCCAGTTATCCCCATTGTGGATAGCCTACTTGCTAAGCCCCGCGCGGGCTGTTTAGACTCGCATGTGTGAGGGGGGTTATTCATTAGAATCCTGCATCATCTTGTTCTTGCTGGAAGCTAGGTAGCAAAGCCGCACTGAACCTAAAACCAGGTATAGCCTTATCTCTTTATTGTTCCTATTATAGATAGCTGTACAGATAACACTAGTTGTCGTAATATACCCACCTTCCGTTGAATCCTGCCGCTTTGCGCAGCAGGATGTAGTCTTAGGTTGGAACCCTAAAACCTAAACCCTAAACCGTGGGTCCCTCCTTAAGCTTTTTCAGGGACCGGGTAGAGGGTTTCAGGCCAGGGGCAATGAGACTAACAGCTTACGTTTTAGGGGTGTGGGTCAGGGAAGGGTTAGTGATTTGGGGTGCAGGGGCTTAGGGGTCAATAGGGGCTAGGGTCAGGGTTTTCTGCTGGCGTACAACAGTGACTTCAGCCCCCACATTCACGTTGCAACCCGCATTAAAAACTCTGCACCAACTGTTTCCCCCTGGCCCTTAACCCTGAACCCTGAGACCCCAAATCCCAAGCCCTGCCTATCTAAACCCTAGCTTGCAAGGTTGCATCCGAAGCTGATGCACACCAAGCCGCCTCCTCGGGTGCCATACTGCCAAGACAGGGGCTTTGGATTCGGAGCTTCTGATTTTAGTTCAGGGTCTGCTGGGTTGCTGTTATGAAACTTAAGGTAAGTTACTATACCAAGGAAGCCCTTTTACTTAGTACATGCCCATGATATGGTAACTTCAACAAAGTTCATTGACAGCAACTCAGTTTCAGAATCTGGTACTACCATAACTGCCACACCGCTCTGAGAATTATGACCTCAGAGGAGCCACTGTCGCAGAGTATTCGGCAAGGGCTTGGTCTCAACACTGTCACTCGCCTATACAAGAAATACGAAATACTGACTGTGGCTTAACTTGTAATCTACAAGATTCCCATCCAGCCCGATTACCCAAGATATCATCGTCCCGGAGGCTCCTCAAGAAGGCTTCACTGTAAACTCCGTAAACCCTCTGTGTAAGGTTTATGGCCTAGGGCTTCAAATACAGCCCGAGACACTAAGATTTCCTTGACCTCCATGGTTCTTCATGCAGAGCTCAGCAAGTTGTGGTTGTGTACATAGCCACACAGGAGTTTCAAACATCAGGAGCCTATCTTGGGAGGTCTCCACAGTGAGGATTACGGTATTCTGGGGTGACTTTCAGGCCCCAAAACATGGAAATTACACCACAGGCACAAACTGCAAACCAACTCGTGCAAAGTAGAGGTGTATGTTATCATTCGAGTGCGGCGTTCGGGCAAGTTCATGCTGCCACGCTAAGGATGTAGTCCTGATCTCAACCGCAGGGGGCTAAGCTGCCAGCAGTTTAGTGCGTAGGTTTGAGGAGCCCTAAGCCGTAAACCCTTAACCCAAAAGCACTCCCCATTCAGTCTTCAACCTGGTGCACGGAATGTCCCACACCTAGAGCGCATGAAACTTGTCCTAAACCCCAAGACCCTCCCTGAATTCGCGGCGCTGTTTTCTACAGTACTCGTGATAATCAGGGGATATCTTGCTGACTATTGAATTCAGGCTTCAGGATGTAGAGTAGTTTTCCATCATCTTCAAGGGTGACCCTTGGCTTTGGGTTTGAGGGCTGCATTCCTCCCCCTATCTATAGGTCTTTGGGGAGGTGGGTTTCCTTCGTTCCCACCTAATTATTTACTTTTGGTCTTTCGGGAGGGTGGGCTCAGGTTCAAACAAAGTGTCCCGCGCTATGTAAGTTTAATGGGTCCTGCGATGTGAAAACTAAAGATTTGTGCCTGAAATTTAGTTTTCATCAGTTGTTCCTCCAAAGATTTTGTGATAAGGGTTGCGCCTTAGTGGTTACAGACGCTAGGCTACGTGATAGTGCGCCGATCCACAGCAACATGAGGAATATCTTTGTCTAGGTTGAACGAAGCCTGTGTTTAAACAAAGTTGTTCGATAGAGTTGTGCAGCGTTTCATCATGGCTTGTGAGGGTTTCAATCGGCTTGACCTAATCTAATTGTTTTTCACATAGTGGTCTTTCGGTAAGGGTTCGGGTTGGGTGTACGGCGATGCAGACCACTAGTATCCACTGAGTTATTAACCCCCTCTCCTTTCATAACAAGGTTTGTGGAAGTAGAAGGATCCTTGTAGAAGGAGGGTATTGACAATCAGTGGTATACAATAACTACCGGAGTCACTTAGAGAACAGATACCCTCGTTGCGGGGCTGATCGAAACTGTGATAAATCTAGAGACTCCCATGCATCAACATGCTAGGATCCCTATTGCTTGAGATACAGTAAACCTAAACCCTAAGACTCCTGAAAGCTGAAGCCCCAAACCCCAAGCACCTGGCCTCAACCTCAAACCAGAGACCGTCTTACCGTTTTAAGCGGGCAAATCTGGTTTTGAGGATTGAACTTGTGTATGGAAATCTTAAGCTGTAGAGGGTCCATTCTTGTTGACATAACTGGAAATGCTCAGGCTTGTCGAGCTCTGGGGGCTTGTACACCACCTGTGCACCCCAAAGGGCCTGAATAGACCCTATCAAGACCTTATGCACTTGAAATGTCTTAAGGTCTTAAAGTTCTTATACAGGCTCTACAAACCCGTCAACCTTTGAGACCGAGCACGTCGTGTTACCCAAAGGGGTTCGGGTGTTCGTGTCAGCTGTGGCTGTTTCGAATGTTGGTGTCTGTACATAGGGCTCACTAGGAAAATCAGTGAGTCGATACTTGGGTTTTGTTTCTGAGGGCTTGCACCCGAAGGGTCAAAAGTTTTCAGGGCTATGGGGCCCATTGGTATCCAATGTCATTTCTTCTCAGTGCCAAAGCTGCATGCAAATCTTCACCTAGCGGCGGGTTTAGGTGCACAGTTTAGGGGTTTAGGGTTTGGGGTTTCATCAACAGTCAACCCTGAAGTTGGCACATCGAAGCCCGGGCACCACCTCGAATCCCAAGTCCGAAGCGCTGCATCGAACTCACCCGAACCTCCCAAACTTCTACACTGAAATCGTAAACCCTAAACTAGAATGGTTCAAGTGAGTATATCTCAGGGGAGTTTCCTGAACATGAGCCTGGACGCACATTGCGACTTTCTGGGAGTTTTGTTCAGGTCGACGACGTGGAGCGCATGGGCATGATCTCCGTTCCCTCCCAGGCTTGATTGGTTTTGAGCTTCTCCGGGCTTGAGGACTGTAGCAGGTTTATATAGGTAGGTTTAGGGGATCTTAGAGGGAGTTCGGGTTCCTCACTTTATCAGTTTGGGGTTTCAGACTTTGAGGCATTAAGGGTTTGCAGTTTTCTGCTAGATTGTATGCATAGGCTTGATCCAAGACTTCGCAAGATTTGCCGCCGGTCACTACACACGAGAGGTAGCCTTTAGACTTTGCGTTTTAGACTTTAGGATTTAGGGTCTGCGTAGTTAATCATGATGGGACCGATGGGACACAGTACTCATTCCAACTGTGCAAGCTTTTGCGTTCAGGATCGTTTCAGTAAAGAGCCTCTTAGGGTTTGGGCTTAGGGCTTTCGGTCCGTATGCTGGTGGCCTAGATTGATGGTCGTGACATGAAGACACCTAGCCTGGAGGATGACCCGCGGAGTGGGCAGGTGGAAACTGAAGATAGTGTCCATAGCAGACCTGCCTTACAGTGTAAGCGTAACCCTACACCTTTAAGCGAGGGTTCCTACGACTTAAGTCCAGAACCTGACATTCAAAATAAATCCCAACCCTCAGCTCAAAGACGATTCCGGTAAACGGAACATAAAGCAGGCTTCGGGATGACGCTGCGAGATCGAAAGGGGCAAACTGCTTGTGCTGGAAAGGTGGTCTGTAGATTGCTGCTGTCGCAGGGTTATACCTGCCAGCATAGAAGAACCCTAAGCCCTAAACCCCTATGTTTTCGACACACGAAGCCAAGCGGAAAATGTGTCCACTGCGGAGACCGAGATGCGGGCCTTTGCTTTAGCTCATCCGGAGAACCGGTTGAGTTGACTGAAACCAAGACGGACTGGATGCTCCGTCATCACAACAGCTTTTTTTCACGAAGAGCGCCATCAACCTGAGAATGCCAGACATCTCTGAGGAAGGATGCAACTTCCTTTCCAAACTCCAAAATTCGTTTTGGAGTATGTTGATTGAAGAACGGTTGTAGTTTGCAAGCAGTGTGCTGTTGTTTTCCCATAAGTCACATAGTCTCAGTCTGGGAGCACAGGTTTAGCGTAGAGGCGTCTCGTCGCAGGCTTTTCAGCTCATCAGCGGAACTGTTTTTCAATGCCGTTGAAGAAGCAGGTAGATAAAGAGTCATCCCTAGAGCCTCGAATATCAAGCGGCAAGTCCCTTAATCCAAATGTCTCAGCATCACCAACATGTCTTTCTGAATCGGTTTATTTGGGAATCTGTTTAGGATGTTTGCACCGTCTCACAAGATGGTTTGTGGATAGATTCATAATACAGCAAACACAGACAGAAACAAGCATACTAATAGAGTCCGACGTGCCATGCCAAAGCGCGCACGCGATGAGGGAGCATGCGATGCGGAGATAAGAGCCTCGAATTGCAGCAAGCTTTGTGTTGGGTTTAGAGGGGCGCTTTTGTGGGTATATGGTGGAAATCTTTCACAGCTTTGGGGTCCCCAAATACTGTAAGTGTATTGGCCTGAAAGCCGGCGCCGGAGATCTTGGCGTCCACCTCGGCGGAGGTGTCGTAGTTCGTCAGGGCGATGTTGATCTCGTTGATGATGGGGGCCTGGAGCTCCGTCCAGCGCACGTAGACGCCCACCAGCCCGGCGATGGCGTCGGCGATCTCCTGGTCCGTTTGGGCCGAGGTGTAGTAGCCCGACAGATCCACGTTGCCCAGGGCGTTGGCGATCTCCTGGTCGGTCTCTGCCCGGGTGTAGAAGTCCAGCAGGGCCGTGACGATTTTGTTGTCGACCTGGGTGCTGTCGTCGTAGGAGCTGAGGGCCGAGGAGATGGCCGAGGAAACCGAGGCCGCCGTGGCGTAGTTGGCCAGCTCTCCCGCCACGAAGCTCGAGACCTCGCTTTGGTCCCAGTAGGGCACCAGCTCGCCGGCGATGAGCGCCAGCACCTGGGCCTCGTTCCGGAACTGCGAGAGGTCCAGGGCGTCGATGGCGGCCGTGATGGCGGCTCCGGTTTCCAGCTGCGTGTAGGTCTCGCTCCGTGCATATGAGTCCGACTCGATCAGGATCGTGTCGTCGAGGTTTTGGAAGCTGGCGGTCAGCGCTCCCGCCACGGAAAGATTCCGGAGCACGTTGGTTCCCCGGAGCAGGTTGAAGGTCGGCCCGCCGTTCCAGGTTTGGCCGTTGCTCAGGGTGACGGGCACCAGCGCAGCCGCGATGGCCTGGGTCATCTGCAGCGTGGTGCTGTAGTCGGCCAGCTGGGTGTCGGTGTAGGTGTTGGCCGACGCGATGGCCGCCACGATGTTTGCCGTGGACTCCGCCCGCGTGAAGTAGTCGGCCAGAGCCGCCGTGATGGCGGAGTTGGTCTCTGCGGTCGTGTAGTAGCCGCCGAGCTGGGCCAGCACCCAGGACTCGCTGGCCTTCGGGAGCAGGAGGGCGTCCGCTTCCGTTTTGCTGTAGGCGTCGCAGGCGAAGCTGAGGGTCCAGTTCTCGTTTGCCAGAGCGATGCTCAGGGGACCCGTGGCGTGCAAGTTGCGGACTTGGTTTAGGTCCCAGGTCACATTCCCGGGCCAGGCCGGCGCGTTGACGAGGTTGGTGGCGCCGCCCAGCATGGCGATTTCGGCGAGGATGCCGTCGATGGCGGACTGGGGCGGCGTCCACCGCGGTTTGCTGCACGTAGGGGAGCAGCGCCGTCGCGATGAGCTGGCTGACGTCCGCGGGCGTGGTTCTGAGGGCCACGGCGGCCGTGAGGTCGCTGGTGCTCGCCATGGGGAGCAGCGCCGTGGTGATGGCCTGGGCGACGTCGCCTGCCGTCTGGCGGGCCGCCACATCCAGGGCCAGCTGGTCCACGACACTGGTCAGCGCGTAGGTGGCCGCCACGGTGGCCAAGGTGGCATTGTTTGCCGACGCGATGCTGCTGTTCATGGGCGCCGTGGTCGGGTGATTCGCCAGCTTCAGGTCCACGCTGGCGGGCGTCGATTTGCCGTTGACCTCCACCTGGAGGGCGTCCAGGGCCGACTGGCTGGCCTTGGCGGCGAGGGCCACGGTCAGGCTCGTGTTCAGGCTCGCCAGCCCGGAAGTGTTCGCGAGGATGGATGCCTCGAGGGCGGCCTGGTCCGAGGCCAGCGCGTAGGGCGCGAGATCGGGGACAGCGGGGAGGGCGGCGAGTTGGCCCTGCAGCGCCGCGATGGCGGCGGCGTTGACTCCGATGGCCGCGGTGTTGGCGGTGTGTTCCGTTTGCGGCGTATACGCGGTGAGGACTGTGGCGAGCTGCCCGGCGGAGATGCCCTGCAGCTCAATCACGGGCGGCGCCGTGACGCCGTCGTCCAGGATCCGCCCGGTGAGGGTGCTTGGAAACAGGGACATGATTTACTGTACGGCCCGCGACACCGTCCGGGCCACCACGTCCCAGTCTTCCGCGACGGCGGGCAGCTCGCTGTCCTCGGCTGCCCGGTCGTAGAAGAGGAAGAGGCGCTGGAAGGACTTCTGCGGTTCCTCCTGGATGAGGCTGTGCAGGAGCTGCAGGAGCTTCGGATGGCGCTCGGTCTTGGGAGTGCGCACTGTGCGACCCGCCACCTTGAAGGCGTCAGGGTTGTACCGGACGACCAGCTTGTGCTGGCTGCCCAGCGCCACGCTCGCGACCATGTCGAAGTCGCGGCGCACGTCGCAGCTGGGGTCCTGGTGGGAGTGCTGGTTCTCGTCCACCTCAAGGATGCGGCTTGTCTCCGACTCCAGCCCGCAGCCTCGGAAGGGTAGGTGGTGTTGGTAGTCGAATTGGATGCCCGACTTGCTCAGGAGCTGGTGCACCTCGAGCTCTTTGCTTTTCGTCAGGGCTTTTGGGTTGTCGCCGTGGAAGGCTTGCATGTGCTTCCGAAGATTGGCCGCCGTGGCCAGCTTCACAGTAGGCTGGCAGAGCTCGCAGATCCAATTGTTACAGTCGGCACACGCCCTTCGCACACGACCGTGTGGGCATCTGCGGTCATAGGACTTTGTTTCTGTCCTCACGCGCTTGCCCAAGCGCTGGGGGCGACAATCTGGGCAATTGTGCTTGTTGACGCCGTGCTCACACAGGCCTTTGCCGCCGCACGGCTTGCAGTAGTACCCGTGATTGGCTTTGCCGTGCGGACAGATGGCGCTGCCACCGCAGTCTGGGCACAGTGCTTTTCGCTTCCCGTGTGGGCAGATGTTGCTTCCACCGCAGTCTCGGCAGCTGGCCTTTTGCTTCCCGTGCTGGCAGATGCCGGCACCCCCGCAGTCAGGGCATACATACCTTACCCGCCCGTGCGGGCACTTCTTGTGGATCTTGCGCGTCGCCATGGTGGCTATTTTGGTAGTATAAGGCGAGCCGCCGCCCGCCGCCGCACCTGCCCATTCCCGGCCGGTGAACGCACTTAATCCAGGACGGACACTCCGGAGCCGGAAAGCGTAACAATTTGCATAGAAACGAGGCCAACGAAGATCGAATCCACACGGTCCGCGAGCATTTGGCGGAATGTGAAGCGACAGAGGTCTCCGGAGCGGGTGCTCAGACCTGAGGTGGGGTGCTTGGGCACACGCTCCGTGGGGAAAGCAGCAATGAAGTGAGTATTATCGTAGTTCGGAATGCGCATGTTGCGAATCTTGCTATCATAGGTGCCGGCCATAATCGACAAAAAGTGATGAAATTCGGCTATGCTCTTGATCGGTGTGCGAGGGAATTGCATCGCCCCGAGCTGTAATTGGCCTTCCATGACCGTGTTTGCGGAGACATTGGGGAAGGCTTCTCCAGGGTATTCCATGTTGCTGACCCAATTCTCTCCGGATTTGTTGAAAGTCACGAAACTGCCGAGTAATTTTGTAAAGGCCCGAGCAATTGTGACATTATAGCTCGTGGCACTTCGTCGTCGTCATCATCATCATCATCAGCATCATCATCTTTGTTATCGTTGTCTTCATCAGTCTGCATTCCCATCAACTTCAAAATCTCACATTTGACAACATGAAAACCATGGTGGTATCACGATCACAACTATTATGTGCATCTTCGTCTTTGTCTTCATCAGATTCACCAGCATCAACACCAATGACCAGTATCTTCCAAAAAACGTATCATCATCCTCACCCACATCGAAGGATCCAGAAGCTGTCGTGTCCAGCGGGCTTTTTGTTGTAGGCGGGGAGTAGCACAGCAGAACGCTCGAAAGTTTAGCCACAAACTTCCAAAGTTTCAGGTACTATAGTAGCAAAAACATACGAGGTCCGTTGCTGCTAGCAGCCCCAAACACAAGCCTAAAGGAAGACAAAAAGAACAAGCGGCCAATAGCCGCTCCTTCCCGGAGAATGGGTCAGCATATACTGCATCACGCTCTACTGACTCTACTGTTCGGTTCGATTAGGTAGAAGCGGACATGTGCAATCTGCGGAAATTCCCGATATGCCTGCGGTATAACGAATCATAAAAAAAAACAATTATAATTTTCGATTTGACTGCGGCGGCTCTCCGCGAAAAATATATCTTCTCTTATTGTGTTCAGCAAATGGTGCTGGATTGCTGCACGTGCAAACTCGGGAAGCTGAACAACAGACTGCGATTTGAGAGCAAAATGCGCTCAAAACTCTCCCTTAGAGCGCTGTCCAAAGTTACCTGGTCCGCCAAAAGCCTCACGTTCTCGATTTGGTAGGACAAACTTGACCCCACTCCGGCGCGCATGGCGTGCTCGGGCTCTGCGAACTCGATTTCCATCACTAAATTGAGCTGCGACGGGAGCATCTTGCCGCAGTTGAACATGCCGAGGAGGTGCGGGGTCATGAGCACATCCCGCTTCTGCCCTGGCTGCACCGGCTGCGCCCAGCCGCCGGCGTCCACGGGCAGGCCCTCCCAGTGGAGATCCGTCCACCCGTCTTCGTTCTTGAGAAGGCTGTACATGAAGCACGACCGCCCATAATAATTCACATCTTCGACTCGAGCTCCACCACTAAAGACTTGGATTCGCTCGATGAAGCACGAGGGGTCCGGCGAGCCGCAGAGCATGTCGGCCGAGCCGTCCGTGTTGCGGAAGCTGAAGGCGAGCTTCACCGACTCAGGGTCCACGAAATCGATTCCTGGCGTTATCGGAATACGACATACGCGGCTGGTCGTCGGAGTGAACGTTGACAGGGAGCTTGGGTAGTACTGCACCGATTTTCTGGACTGGATGTAGTTGGTTTTCCCCGTTTGGAGCTTGTAGTCCAGAGAGGCAACCAGCTCGTCGTTGACGGCTTGAGTCACCTGCTCCATCTTTACTCACTACGCAGCTTCCGGATCGCTCGCCTGTCGAAGCGCTTCGAAGGACGGCTGGGTCCCGAGGGGTCCCCGGTCGCCGCGGGATCCGGGAGCGGTCGCTGTCGGGCGAAGGGCGTTTGGGCCTCGGGCTGGGCCCTGGGCCGCCTGGCGGGGCGGGCCCGGATCTGGGCCAGGGGCCGGTTCCGGGGCTCGCTCTCCGAGTCCGTGTCGATGCGGAAGACCTGGAACTGGCTCCGCTGGGCTCGGCGCTGCTCCTGGATGAAGAAGTGATCCACGGCGCCCGATTCCTGCATGCCGTTCAAGGTCTGCACGTCCGTGGTCATGCTCGGGCGCGAGGCGTCAGAGTCCGTGCCGCCGCCCGTCGCTGCTCCCCAGCCCATCATTTGCGAGGCCGCGTTCAGGCCCTCGATGGCCCAGGCCGTGCCCACCAGCGCCGTGCCGGCCCCCGCCACGGCCAAGCCTCCGGCCGCCGCGCCCACCGTTCCCGCCGCCGTGAGGGCAGCAGGGCCAGGGCTCCCGTGCCCGCCTCCGCCGCCGTCGCAGCCTCCGCCGCGCCTGCTGCGGCCTCCGCCGCCGTGGCGAAGCCCTCGGAGGCCTCCGCCTCCGCTAGCTGCTGCGAAGCGAAGGCTTCGATGTGTTGAGCGGCCGCGCGCTCCACCTCCGCCACCTCGCTGGGTCTCCCGATGATTTGAGGGGGAGGGACCTCGTCGGGGCCACCCGGGGCCGTTTTTGAGGGCGTTCATCGTCTGGTTCTCGGAGACGCTCCTCACCGCCGCCGCCGCGCCCGCAGCCCCGCCGGCGATGATCGCCTCCGCCGCCTGGATGCCCGACTCCCTCATCCGGCCGCCCAGGCTCGGGGGCCTCGCCGGCGGGTCCAAGCCGTCGTTCCTCAGGGCCTGTCCCGGGTCCATCCCCCCGGAGTCGCTGTCGGAGGGCAGGAAGCTGGGCCTCGTGAACTCTCGGGGCGGGTGGGGAAAGGGGACCCCGTCGTAGCCCTCGTCGGCGGTCTCGAAGGCGGCCGCGGGATTGAGGGTGGTGTGGGGCAGCGGGGCGTCGGAGATGGGCTCGGAGGCATTGGGGTAATCGTCAAGAAAGAAATGGGACGACGTAAAAATGCTCGCCTTGCGGTTGGGCAGGTCCAGGGTCAAAGGCTCGCCCTCCTGGATGTAGCCCAAGACCAAGGCTCTCGGCTCAAGTGAGCTCTTGATGGATCTTTTCTGTGCCTTGTAGGTGGTGAACTGGGCTGTGGGCCTTAACTGGTTCGTGCTTTGAACAGGCTCAGGGTTGACGTTTCTCTGAGATGGCCATGGCGTTTTCATGCAGTCTTATGATGGCAATGAGAGCTGCTTTCCATTATGCTGGAATCCGGGTCAACTTACGGCAACTTCTGCTGTGCTGTCTGATATGCTTCATGGCGAATGCATCTTTTCAACATGCAGAGGTTTGGATGGACGGTGTAGCTCTTGCACGGCAACCTTCTTTGAGGAATTGTGTTTTTGAGTTTGATCCGTTCTGCTGGCCTCGAGGAAGGATAGTACAAGGAAAGACAGCTGTGGACCGCTTTGAAACGCCGGGAATTGTAGAGTATGATTTGGCTCCTAGACGTTTGACCAAAGTTTCCCTTCTGACAGATATTCCAGGTGCGAAAGACAGCGTGTTGCATTCAAAAGGTGTGGCAGAGGACAAGGACAAGCTAAGGAGAGTGTGCTCCTGTCGTGATTTTGCATTGTGGAAACAAGATTTTCTTCGAGGAGGACATCGTCGCAAAATAATCATACAGGAACACAAAATCTTCGAGCACAACGGCGTGTACAATACAAAACTATGCTATCTTCTGCTCAACTTCTATGGCACGCTCTTCACAACCATGCACGTCGACTTGGTGTTCGGACAGCATTGCTATCCCGTGGTGCAGCCGTTTAGTGTCTCTTCGTTACCGTATAGTCTTCATATGTCTGGCTGGGGCGTCCGTTGGCCTGGCTCTTATTGGACAGTGCATCCACACACTGTCTATGACCGCCATTTTTTCATGCAGTCTCGCGGGTCTGATCCAGGTCCATGGTTTATTCAGATGGTGTTGCCGCGCAGGGGTCTCAAGGATCATTGTGCACATCACGGACAGGAGACTTTGCAATGTCATTGTGCTCGTTCATGGCGCGAGGTCCGGAGGGCAGCTGACGAAAGGTCGCCCATCTCAGATGAGTCAACCCAGATATCATTGATGGCATTATTTGCTGATTCAAAGGTATTCGGTGAGGGTACAAGCTGGGGCCTCAACAGGCAAAGACGAGCACATCGAAAGCCTTTCAAGGTCAAATCATGGAATGTTCAGGTCTTTGACACTCATGGCAAGCGGAGGCCTGTGTCAACTACATCTGTGCAGCAGAGTGTGGATGGCGCTCCCAAGCGAGGACTCACGATAGCAGTACGTTTTGCAGGTACATGCTGGGGTCTCAAAGGTCGCTGGTGGCGCTTCAAGTACCTAGGTAGACCAAAACAATGCTCAAAGCGATGCAGGTCATGGCAAAACATCAATTTCGATTACGACAGGCTCCGAGCTCAGATGATGGCTGAGCTCCACAAGGTCATGGGGGGAGTCACTGAAGCCTATGTGAGCGCGCATGCGGTGATGCAGTCATGTCCTCTGACCAGTTCACCTACCAGTACCAGTACACAGACATGTGTTCTACAAGATGCTTGTGATGAACATGCTCACTTGAGTTGTCGCGGTCCCAAGTCCGCCAGGTGGGGGTTGGCATTGTTGACGTTCTTTTCGACTTTTACTCGATGTGCTGGGGTACATCAGGTCGACAATGTGATTACTCTGCCAGAGCCGAGGGTTGCCACTCTCACCACAGGGGTGGCTGGAGCTTCCAAGTTCTTAGGGCCTCCAACAAGTAGGGGGGCGAAGCCTAGTGGTATGCAGGGACAATTTGAGTCCGGTGTTGGATTTGGTCGAATTCGCAAGCGTGCTTATCGTCGAGCGTGTGCTCGTGCCATGAAACATGGAGGAACATATTATCGGGGAAAGTGGATGTCAGACCCACAAAAGACA